AGTGAGCAAACAAAAAGAGCGTCCTGCTGGTAGTGATATCATTATGTGTGTGCTGTCTGGACAAGGGGACTGCAGTGAGGTCAGAGGTTATGGGGTTGTGTGTGTGTGTGTGTGTGTGTGTGTGTGTGTGTGTGTGTGTGTGTGTGTGTGTGTGTGTGTGTGTGTGTTGTCTGTGTGTCTTGCTGGTTGTGTGCCTTTTTCTCAATGCAAGTGTTTTTGTGTATCCATATTTGTGTGTATGTGTGTGTGGAGGATTAGCGTGCTTCTCCAGTCCTCTGGCTGTAATCAGACGGGACATTGGCTCCATGACGTCCCACAACCCCCACCACCACCCACTGCGGGAGGGCCTCTATCCCTTTTACCCTGTCATGTGTGTTTGGCTGCCGGTCTTGGGACCCTGGCGGTATGTTAGGAGTTAAAACAATTATTTTTGCTCACATCACGGTGTCCTTTTTTCAAAACTTAGCTTACCCTCGAGAGATTGAAAAGAAAACCCTAACCTATCTTAGATTGGGAAAGCATGGTCACATCGCATGGACAACAAGATATCCTTATTTGATCCTTCATTATGTTTGCATGTTGTATTTCTTTCAAGGGGATCATCTGTTCTTCAAAACTGGCACTAAGTTGCTGATCTGAGTGCAGACTTCATCAGAGTAACGGTTCAAGGATGGCCAGATACACAAGCACCACTGATCAGGTTAGTCTGAGCCCTCTGACCCTGGACTGGCCTGTCTGCTGTTGGTTTGACCCTTAACTCTCCCTTTGTCTCTCAAACGCAACATGCAGGACAACTAGAGCACACACAAGCCGCCCAGCCCCCCCAACCCACATGCACACTTCTACTTGGACCTCTTATCCTTGACAGCCCTTATGCTCATATTAAGATCTACTTCAGTGATTTCAGGGCTGTTTCAGCCATAAACTCTCATTTAGGAGGAAATTAGCTCTGAGTCTCAATCTTGTTTCTATACTGTGCTTAACAGCATTAGACCATTCTTGTGGCTTTTAAATAACAACAAGGATAGATAGTATCATTCAAATCATCCTAACCATGCTACTTTGTTGCACCATATGTAATGGCCAAGCACTCATTGTTTTACATTATTGTACTGCCATTGAGCTGTCCTCTTAGTGCCATACAGTGCTTAGTGACTCTAATTGCACATACTTCTGGCTTTGTATACATTTAAAATATTCTGGAAAGGATTAGTTGAATGTATTCATCAGCCCAATTTTCAAAGATGCCCTGTAAACTTTCTAATAACACTTGATGAAGCACGGACCAAGATATTTTTTTCTTTGCTTCTAAAAAGCCAACAAGCAAAGGAACGTTAAAACTAAATACATTCTATGATTGACACATTTTAAAAACATGAAGTTGCATATATTCAATTTGATATACATGTATATGCATTCCAGTGCAACAGCTTTTTAACTTGTGCCATGCTAGTAAGGAGAAACTGAACTCTCACTTAACTGCCGCAGAGATGGAGCACCATCAGACCCAAAGAGATGAACCATAATTAACTTTACCAATTACACTCCATCTCAGACCACTTATTCCATCACTAATGCTGGACATCACACAAATGCCTCTCAGTGTCCTGCAAGAGACTCTAGATACATTTAAAATGAAAATGAAATGAAACAAATGATTTAAAGCAGTTGTTTTTGTTCTAAGAGAAACAGCTTAGGGATACAAACATCAGAAATATAAATCCCCCTCAGACAGTTACCCTCTAAGGTTAGTTGTTATACATAGATTTAGGTCTACAGGCAAAATGTGTGACATTTAAAAATGTCAGTCTTTCTCCATTTTAACACGTGGTGTCTCGTCTCTACCCAAGACAAGAAAGGATGTGTGTATATTTGGTGTATCTATTGGAAACCATGTTGGGCTTTTATATTTGAATACGTAAGAGAAAAAGAGAACCTGTAGAGGGCAGTCAGAGGAGTTGCGTGTGTGCGTGTGTGCGTGTGTGCATGCGTGTGTGCGTCTGTGCGTGTGTGCGTGCGTGTGTGCGTCTGTGTGTGTATATGTGTGTTTATGTTGGAGGGGGGCGTTGGGGAGATAACGATAAGCACCACTTAGGCTCTTTGATCACCAAGGTTCATCAATCTACTGTCCGTCCAGTGTGTCTGAGAAAGTCCTCCACAGTTGGATTAAGGTTTACACACACACACACACACACACACACACACACACACACACACACACACACACACACACACACACACACACACACACACACACACACACACACACACACACACACACACACAGTCTTCTCTGTGTTTAATATTACTTTACCACTTCTCCCAAAGCTTTATTCTTCCAGCCATACAGGAGTCAACACAGATCTGTTACTGCACAAGCTAACATGAAGTGATGCAATCCATCTTCAGAGTCGGAGGCCCTTCCATGGGACCTCCCTCGTTCCTCCCTCCTCCCTCCTCTCCCCCTTATCCAGTTTGTCTGGAGACAAAGGGTTAAGGAGGAACAGACCCTCTGAAGGGCTGCCTGCTTAACCTCTGGCCTTATGGTGTACGAGAGAGAGAGAGAGAGAGAGAGAGAGAGAGAGAGAGAGAGAAAGGAAGAAAGGGAGAAAGGGAAAGAGAAGGAGAGAAAGGGGAGGTCTGACAACTGACATATAACTATGCAATTAATTGTAAATACCCCGGGTTACAAGTTTAATGATTTAGCAGCCTTTTATAAATAGATCTCTGCATGTTACGTCCATTTGTTCTTTCAAAATAAGGGTGTTGTAAACTCTGAGCAGGTGGAAGGTGGAAGAGGTTAACTTTGCTTTGAGAGACACAAACATGGCATGTCAGGAGACATAAGAGGGAAGGGGGACCACCAACACACCCCCACCTCTCTCAGTCCGGCATCCCGGCAGACCCTAACCCTCTCTGGGCACCAATGAGGGGGTCCAGCTGGTGGAGACTGGAGATGCCAAACAACCTGTCACAGATAAGAGGAGGGGGACAAGGTATGTGCAGCACCCACACCACTCTGGGGGGGGGGTTGTAAAAGACACTGGGGTCTCTTGTTCTTGATAAGACGGCATAGCACGCACTGTTGTAATTTAAACAATACTCTACATTGTTGCATGACAATGTTGGACACTTTTGGAACATTTGGAGAAAAGTACAGGCACTTGTCCTTTTCAAGTCCTTCATATTGCTACATGCGTTGAAACTGATAAACTGAACTTCCATTCCTGAGTTGCTGACCATGCTTTAAATAACCTACAGTGGGAAAGTTGCCTCTGCTGTGTTTGTTGTCTAATCACAAAGAAAGAACACAGCAACCACTTGACATACGAATCATTCTCTAAAATTTATTCAATTTCTGTGTATAAATCTGTCTTTTTATCCATATAACAGAACATTTTTGTTTGTTTATCACAACTATTTATCACCACAGATGGCGGGTGAAACCAGACACAAACCTTTAAAGAGAAACAAATATCTCTGAACAACTCTGCTTGTTTCACAAGTTAACAACAGACTAATCTTTACAAATCTAGAGTAATAAATACTGTTAGCAGGAACAAGGCTATAAAAAAATCTCATTTTAACACACATACATATCCAATACATACCAAGGAATGATGGGGATTTGCTCTCTGCATACTGTTTGTAATGTAAGAGCACCAGCTCACATTTTACTGCATGTAACACAACAGGGCAGATATATGAAAACTGCCTTCTTACACAAAAAGACACCAAAACCTCAGCTTTCACAATGGGTGCCACATATCTTTCTTTACGGTTAGCTAAAAGGAGAATGATGATGCTGCAGGGACATGTATCTAACCGGATCTTGTAAAACCATTAATGGATAAGACAGGAAGAATTTAGATTCAAATTAAAGGAACAAGAGTTAGTGCACCAACATTATCACGTTTTTACAGAACTTTGATTTTGTTATGTTTGCTGAGCAATCCTTGCATGTCAAGGATCAACACTGGACTAATGAATAATTCAGAAACAAAATAAAATGGGCCAACACGCACGCACACATGAAACATGCGACGCTCCAGCTCTAACTGGTCAGCTGGGGATAAAAGAGAGGTGCATGTTCATTGGCTGGCTCTCAGAGAAAAGAGAGAGTTGATTGGTCAGCTAGGGGTGACTGAGAGGACAGCGGTGACAACCGTGTGACGCTGAGTAGTGCATTTACCCAGAATGCAGTGAAAGCAGTGTTTACAGGTCCCTCAGCCTGTAGCGTGGCCTAAACAAACTGCTTTTTCTATGTTACAGCGCCCGCAGGAACTACTGCCTGTCTCATTGGAAATTATCTCATCGCATCCTTGAGCTGAGCTGACATAGGCTTTACATACAAACAGGCACACGCACAGACACACACAGACACACACACACACACACACACACACACACACACACACACACACACACACACACACACACACACACACACACACACACACACACACACACACACACACACACACACACACACACACAACTCGTGCCTTTTCTCCTTCACTGAGACTGAGCATGGAGCTATGCTTTTCTCCACTAAAGAGAAAATATGCCTACCTCAGGCTCCGCTGGGAGATCAGAGATATTTTGGTCAGTAAATGTTACAGCCTGGGTCGAAATGTACATCCTTCACAATGGAGAGAGTGGGACTGATTTAGAGGAAAACAGAACAGTCGCGTTCACAGTCCGGCCTGAACAGGGCTCACAGTTACAACATTTGGATGACACCAGTCTTTGGGTTGTAGAAAGAAGATTAAGTACAACTTTGTTTGTTTTATGGATGACCATGTATAGTCTTTAACAATCCACTGTCCCATCCTGCAAAGCTGGATATCAGACTTTTCATAATTATTTTACAAAGGTAATATCATATTTAGTCCGTGTGCAGCCAGCATCTTTCAGAATAGCAGAAAGAACGGTCACTGAATTTGAGACGAGGAATCTCTGTCCATGTATCAGTCTTTGGGGTTTGTCCTCTGGTTCAGTTAGGAGGCTGCACTCCATTCTGGTACGACACACCTGATGTGTGTGTGTGTCTCTAGTGTGTGGTAGAGAGGAGGAGACAGGTTGGGAGTGTAGCGAGGGTACTCTCTGAGAGGAGGGCTGACCTGCCTGCTGTGAATGTTTTGGGAGCTCTGAGGTGGAGGTGCGGCACTCTGGCTCGGATAGGGGTGGTGGCCGATGTGCTCTCCCAGCGTCGGAGAGCTCTGGTTGGCTATGGCGCTGAGTCGGGAACCCTGAGGGCTGGAGCTGTAGGGGGGGTGAGGGGTGTAAGGTGGGTAGGGATCCATGGGGGTCATGGCAGAGGGGAGAGGGCTGCTGTAGGACCACGATGTACAGTTGAGTTCATCCAGTCTGGGTTCAGAGCTGGCAAACATGCACGCCTGGCGCTGTCCCATGTCTGAGCTGTAGGGGGAGTCGGTGAGAGGGTTGTTGGATAGACCGGGTGGAGGAGGAGGGTAGGAGGAGGGGTGGTAGTAAGACTCGCCCTCACTTGGAGAGCTACCGGTGAAGGCTTTCTTATACGGGTGCTGGCGGTTTCCTGGAGAGCAGTTCTCGCCCACTAAGGAGAGACACAGACAGAGAGAAATGTCAAATATGATATCAATAAGAAGCATGAACTGGAAACGTTTCAGACCAGGATGTCTGAATTCCTACTTCAGACCGTTTAAGAAGCTGAGATGAGAAAAATAAATCAAAAAGTTTAACAGATGGAGCCTGATGGAAAAGTTAATTTGTTAGGTGCTTTAAGAGTACGTCCGATAAGGGGTAGGGTTAGGGGTTAAACTGGGGTAATCCAGAGTCAGTGTAAGAAGTACAGTAAATATACAGCAGGGCATTTAACAGCAAAAGTTATTTTAGCCATCTCAAATGTAATTTAGGGTGCATGCTGTATTTGGAATATGTTTACTGCTTTACTGCGCTGCCAGACAGTGTAAGGTCAAATTCATGTTTTTCTCAATGGAGTTTTGTGACTTTGAAGAGAGCAAGGTTAACAGCTCAAGTTCCCCTTGTTCCTCATATCCTGTGTATATTCTCATGTGTACTACCTGTGTTATTCTCCTATTATGTTGCTGCTATAACACCTGAATGTACCTATGGGGATCAATAAAGGCCCTGTTAGTGATCTTAGTGTCACAATGATTAAATAAAAAGGAAACGGGGTCATTTCTGGACTTCTGTGTCAGGAGTGAACTAATGGCATTGCTTTTTGTCTTTCACAGCTTGAGATAGCCGATCATTTTGTCACACAGTGTGCTGAAGCGTCCTCCTACCTTTCCTCTTGGTGCAGTAGACCTGCGGCTGGTGGCTGTGCTGCATGTGAGGAGGGGCCAGGGTGTAGTGTGCAGGGGGGGCCCTCAGCAGCTCCTGGGGACTCAAACGGTTCTCACAGCTGAACGGGGACCCCACTGTTTCAGGGGAGCCCCGCAGACCCCGACCCTCCCCACTGAAGGGACTCCCGGTGGAGCAGGCCCTCTGACGGACAGTACTGCGAGGGACCACAGGGAAGTCCTTCCTAAGAACGAGAGGGAACGGTGGTTTGAAAATTACAAAAAAAAATTAAAAAACATAAAGTATGTATATCAGAATCAGAGATCCTTTATTAGTCCGCAGCAGGAACATTTACATGTGTAGTTGGGTGCACAAAACGACCTCTTGACTCTGTGCAGGTTTTTCTCTTACATTTTATTCTACCTGATTGTATTCTGTGTGCTCTTGTTTTTTTCTTTTCTTTCAAGCCGACTTAGTCTTTCTCCATCCTTTCAGCTCTGATCTTTCTCTTTCTCTGTACACACTGCCCTCTTGGTGAACTCTTGGGTATATAGGGGACATTGGGCCACATCTCGCTATCCCTCGCTGAGATAGTGACACACACTCGTGCTTGCACACACACAGTTAATCCTGTTGTGAGATAATACGCTACAAAAACTAGCTCTAAAAATAAACAGCCATCCATGTGTCACCTTAGATAGACTCTCCTCTCCTCTGTCCCCCTCTCTACTCCACCAACCACAGCAGCACACAAACACAGGGGGCTGCACCCTCCCTCTCTTCTCTTTCCTCCCCCTCCTCTCAGAAACAGCCTCTCCTATTGGCCTATTAAAATCTCTAAACTGCCTGCCAAAACAGCGCTTCAATGAAGATCAGTTCAACACGCAAACAGACACCATGTAAGGTCATCAGCTGATCTGCAGTGACAGTCCATTAGACCAGCAGCAACAGGATATCATCTATCAATCAATGCAGGACCTGACGCTCGGTGCTTCTTGTTTGTGATGCACGCTCTGGATGATGTTGCACGCTAAGATCAACCTTCAGGTGACAATGGCTCACGCACACGCACACGCACACGCACACACACACACACACACACACGCACGCACGCACGCACACACACACACACACATCTTTTGGATCCTATGTACCCCAATCATAAAATTCTTCAGAGAGCAAATAGATGTTGTTTTCTGTAAGTGTTCCTCTCGTGCAGCTGTACTCACCCTTGGAGCTTGGCCATGCGGTGCAGCTCATTGTCATCGCTGCCTCTGAAGCCCTTGGCAAAAGGATTATTCTCTATCTTCAGCTGTGTAATCTGAGCACAAAACAAGGAAAATCTTTAGCTCAGACACATGGATTACACCTGCATGCACAGGCCAAAGACAAACACACAGCACAGACACACAAAGGCAGATCCACATGTTAAAGTTTACTATTAGTGAGAGGCCCTGCAGATGTTTTTAGCAGCGGCGCTAAAGCTCTGCACGGCCGACATTCCTCAGTCCGCTGACGTTTCTAACGGAGCGAACAGTGTCCTCGCCAGCTGACACAGAATAAACTGTTTACCCAAACAGTCGCCAGGTTTAAGGATTTCATACCAAAGCTTTTAGAGGTCCAACGCTGTGAGCTTTGATGTTTAAGTTTTCACATTTTTCTCAGTGATGTCATGGAGGGAAGCCTTCGCGCAGTGTGTCCATCACACAGCAGGCAGCCGGACCGGAGATGTGACACCAGCTCGGGTCCAAACTAACTTTGAAGTGCTGATGAAAGCCACCACCAAACTATACTGCTAAAATAGTAATCATTTTGCACACATGTTGGATTTAATAGTGTTATAAATATAGTATTTGTTTTTTCATGATGGAACTATAAAAATGTTGTTTAACACAATAGCTTGTATAACAAAAACTTCAATACATAGTGTTTTTTGTTGTGATTTTGAAGTGACAAGAATTTATAATATTGATTCATTGAATTCAGCTTACAGCAAATACAATAGTGTACTACTGCTGCTGCTAATGCACTACCACTAAATGATAACGATAATAATAATAATAATAAGAATTAGATAGTTATATAGTATTTAAGATTAAAATACAAAAACATTTTTTTTAAGTTATTACACTAATCTATTTGTTTGCATAATATTTGATCAAATAGACAGTTTCACTACTTCTAACTTTTTAACTTTATTGTAATTATCATACATTGTATACATAACATACAATACTTCAGCTTAAATAAAATATCATTTTATTATTAATATTTGTTTAAACTAAAAACGACCTGCTATTAACAGATTTGATGCACCAATTTCGGAGAGTCCTTTTTTTACACTTTTTTTATACAAACAATTTGCTTGGGGGTATTGAGGAATATTTTGTATTTAAATGCTAACACAGTATACTTTTGTTTTGTTTTATATACATTTAAAATGTATTTATTCATGTTATTAAATGTGGGAAAGCAACCAGCAGAGCGGCAAAAAGCTTCAGCAATCTGTCTTTCTAGTTGACATCAAGAAAACTGGTCAGCAAAGATCAAGGGAAAGAAACAGTTCATTACAGACTAACGCTCACACACTCGCTCACACACTCGCTCACACACATGCTCTCTCTCTCTCACACACACACGGATAACTTATTTTTGGACATATTTACAAATACTAAGTAAGGCCACATAAACAATGAAGATGCAAATTGACTTTCTGGATACAAAATACAGACAGTAATACTAACAAAGAAAAAGGTTCTCTTTGTGAGTGTGTGTGAATGTGTGTGAGAGACAGAAGTTTGAATGTAGCCAGTGACCAAAGGCACATCTTAAACACTTATCTAAATAATCATAGATAGAACAGATATGACACACATTCAACATTGAGATCTATTTCCATAATTGCTAGGATAATTATGAGGTAGCCTGGCTTGAAAAAATAGTTTAAAATAAGTGTACTCTATGATGTGAAGTGATGTCTAAATAACACTTTCTGTATTGTTTTAAACTCCATTTAATATACAAAATATTCTAGAAAAAGGACTAATGACCCTTCTTAAAAATACATAAAGCAAGTTTTTTCCCTGTATTTTAACAGCGTTGTTGGTGTGGAGCTCACCTTGTGGTTCTGGTAGGACGTCACACCGATGAAGGCAGTCTCAGAGAAGATGTGGGTGCAGAAAGCCGTATTTTTGGAGCCAAAGCCGTTGTTCTCATCCGCCTTGACAATATGGAGGCGAGGCTGGTATTTGTGCATGGAGTTGAGTATTATCTGCACATGGGAGAGATTGAGGAGGTGTGATTGACAGACCTGTCATGAGTCCAGGTGGAGGGTAAACCCAATGAATGTCAAGGTATCCAAAGTTCTTGGATGACATGAATCTTTAGGACAGAGACTCTTTCTTATTAGTAGGCTGAAACTGATCAAGTAAAGGAGCTGTTTTGGATGCAAGAACTTAGCTGAGATTTTTTTAAATATAGATATTGATGTCATCATTTGGGCATTAATGTAAATATTTTTTGCCTGATTTAGGTTCAGTATGCAAGTAAATGACCAGTGCTCATGCTGATCCTTTTTTTTAAATGTTGTATGTTCATCTCATTCTAACCAAAAGAAAACCATGCATGAAACCAGGTAAAGCTGCATCTTTTAAACAAAGTGATCAAGGCATCTTAAATAAACTTAATTTAATTTAATCTGTGACCATTGCCTTTTAACCAAAACTAGGCCTACATCATACATTGTTATTATATAAGACTATTCTAAAGGCTTAAATTAAATATATATATATGTTGAGGCTTTCACTGAACACTAGCTTGATTTCAGTATAATTAAGAGTCACTCATTGGATGTTGTATGTTCTTGACAACTTACTAACATTTCCATATATTAGTATAAATGTCTTAACATCTGGCTTGGGGAAACTAGCAATGTAAAACCATGACAATAATTTATCTCACATTCTAAACAATTTCCCATGACACAGGAAACTCCTCAATTGTTTTTTTCTGTTAATTGGATCACGGCCCTCTGGTCTGAACACACAGGCGCGAGCACGTTTGTTTATCCAGGGGGCTCAGTTTAATAGCAGTGACGTGTCCGCCGGTGACATGCATTAGCTAATGGGCTTTAGTCATTGAAATCATTACCTCTAATTTAACAAGCCTGAGAAGATTGTTTCTGTTTGTTGCCTATTGTCTTTGCGCTAGTGCTAAAAAACAATAGGCCTATGTTTTCAATTGCTCTCACACCGTGAAGCTCAACCGCCTCATGAAAGTGTGTGTGTGTGTGTGTGTGTGTGTGTGTGTGTGTGTGTGTGTGTGTGTGTGTGTGTGTGTTTGTGTGTGTGTGCAGTCAGACTGTAACAGTCGGCAGCAATGAGAGCTGCTATGATGGGAATGAGTCTCTCTGTGCATACTCTGGGCTGTTTTGTGTTGTGGTGGCCAGCCTGGAACTGTGACTGCCGTGTGTGTGTAATCAATCTTCTTAATTAAAAAAAAAAAGAAATCACTCTTGATTATATAAAAAGCATACGATGGGAATCTAATTGGGCAAAAAGACTATTTCCATTTGGGATATAGATTGTATGAGGCTATCAAAGCAAACAACTATTTCATAAGCCAAACACATGTATTGTATCGACTGCCAAGAAGCACCAAGCATATTTTTCTGGTTCTGAAGAAATATAAACTACAAATATTAAGGAAAGAAACTCACGTGTCCAAAGGGGTCCAGGTGGTTGTTGGTGAGTTTGAGCTTCTGGAAAGAGACGAGCTGGCGGCTCCAGTGCGCCCCGGTGGCCGGGGAGTCCGGGTGGACGTAGAGCCTCCCGGGCATCGCGGGCTCTGCCTTTCCCGTTACCGACCTTTGGACATAGAGGAGGCCGCAGATCAGACACGGTGCATTCAGGGGGTCACGGTGGTCTGTCTGACCGGATGGAGGCCTTCGCTGCAGAAGGCCTATCTGGTGCTTTAACTGGATAAACTTGTTTTTGCTAAAGTTTAAACAGATATCTGGACGAGATCTGGACCTAAGCTTTTTCGATCCAAATGTACTCGGACTCCTCTAAAACTGCTGTAGCCTCGGTCCTTTTGTGCCAGAGATGTTGTGAGCCGCCGAGAGAAAAGGCTGAAACTGTTGACATATTTCCTCAGAAACACTTCAACTCCCCACGAAACTAAAGTAGCATAAGTGGCCAAAAAAAATCCACTTTAAAATATAATCTGAACTATTGGACTATTTTCCCCCTTTTACAGCAGCTGAGAAACAGACACTAAAGCTATCGCCAACCTGTTTGAGGCATTATTTACTTTTTAGCGGGACTTTTTAACACCATAAACGGTTTCGTTTCTTGTGTTTGCATTTGCTTTTAACACTTTATAAACAAAAATTAGAGCGAAAGAGAAGGATTATAATATTTAAAATTTGCTGCGTAAATAATTTTGTAAAAAAAAATGTTTTGCCAATGTTTTTCTTAGTGCTGTATGTCTGCATGAAGAATTGCTCCGAGTCAACAATAGGAGCAAATGTCAAATGACGTGAGCCGGTCAAAACGTAAATAATAAAAAGAAAATAACATTTATTTTTGAGATACATTTGCAGCCAGTTAGCCTATATATGACGCTATCAATCACCCACATAAAGACGTTATCTCTTGAGAAATGTCTGACTAATCTCCAGAAATACCGCTGCCACCATTACGCATGCGAGCCGGACTTTATGTCACAGTGTATCCAGACTCCTGTTTACGGCACGTTTCTTTGTAAGACCCGGGTGTCAGAGGCTCTGAGGAGGCAGGGCATTGACGGATCTCTGCAGAGTCAGTGGTCTCTTCGGATTTCCCCCCTCAGCACAGCAAGCATTTGAATGGGAGACTTTAATCCGGTATGTGCCGTCTGTCCGCCCGGTGAACCCTTCATACTCTGATTTAACCGGCGGGCAGACACGGGGGGAAACACGGGGAACTAGGCCATGCTAGTCTGCAAGAAGGACTCGACCTTTAAGAGGCAGGGTGAAGAGGAGGTAAACCCAACAGCACTGATTTATTTTTACAGAGGTTTTACGCTGAGGTTTTAATGCATAATTCAAAGTGGCACACATAACAAAATCACAGGGAAGATAATTAGGAAAATAAAGCAAAGACTAGGATTGTGCTTTTTTTCTCCCTGTGGTGGTTTTGTTACCGTTTTACACTCCGTAAACGACGTTTAAAATACATTAATAAACAATGGGGCCTATCATGGCTGACCTGGGCATGCATGCATATTTGATTATCTTCGCATGCACCATTATTTTGAGGGAAAACCTCAATTTAGATTTCATAAAATTCACACGTATACATTTTGAAATACACCAACCATTTGTTGTCTGAAAATTTGTATCGGTGGTCGTCCTTGGGCACAAGGTCCATCAGGAGTATGTACTTGGTTTTTGGGTTGAGTCCCGTGACTTTCACCTTGTAACTGGGAAACATCCTCCTACACGGAGCACATTCAGAAAAAATAAATATATTATTTTACAGACACAGACAGATTATATTATAATACTTGAAGTTAAGATAAAAAAAACAATTGCTATCCTCCTCTGAGAGAAAAAACGTCCCCTGAGGCAACATTGACATTGTACAGTTTGTCCTAGATATATTGTCAGGACAGTCGTGCTGTGACAGTGTTTATTCAACCATGGCTTCATAAAAATGATAAATCGAATGTACCCAAATAAAAAAAAACTAACAGATAAATATGTATTCCTCCTAACTTCGTACCTTCCAGCCTTGGTGATGATCATTTCAGTTCCCACTTCATCAAACTTTGTCCAAAGTTCTCTGTCGTGGAGGAAAACTTTGATTCCTTCCATTCCCTAAAACAAAACAAAAACAGTGCTCACTACAACTGAAGAGGAAGTCTCATTGAAGTTAAATTAAAGCCCCCAAAACGAGAAACAATTAGTTTGAAAAAAATCTAGTAGGCTATAAGAAGTTATTGGACTCTATTATTTTGTACTTTATCTAAACCTAATACACGACAAATCTCACAGCAACTACTAGAAGGAAATTAACTTTCCCTCTCACTTTGGTCCAGGATGCAAGAAAAATCTGCTTAGTCTTCAACATTTAGTAAATTATGAATTTAATAATATATATTTACATTCTGCTCCGTAGTAGTAGCCGCTGGCTGCTGTCTGGATGCTGTCTGCGGGGAAGAGGCTGGAGAGTTTAAGGTGTAGCCCGGATTTTCCGGTTTGGTCTCTTTTGGGGAATCCATGCAGTCTGAGTCCGGACTCTCCGCAAGGCCGAACTGATCCCCTCCGTTTGCCATATCCCACTGAAAGACACAAACACACACACACACACACACACACACACACACACACACACACACACACACACACACACACACACACACACACACATTAAAATGATGTGCATTTGGTAAACAGGGTTTACCAAATGCCACCCCAACTGTTTGATCGGGTGGGTTGTTCATTTTATATAATGTATATGATATAATTTCATAATAGTTCATGACCTTTAGAGTGAATATAATTTGAAGCATCCATGTTTAGGAACACGTAATGGTAATATTATTCACCTGTTATTTAAATCACAAAATCAATAACCATGACTAAAAACCATGAAAGTAACAGAAACGGTCAGTTGATATTTGTTTTTGTTGAAGATCCACAAAGGGACTGTTAACAATGGCCTCGTTTATTAAGGCTACCTTAGCACTTTGATATTGTGGTGAACACAATAAACAATTTATGGGCCCTTCTTTGCAAAATAGTATCAAAGAACTAGGATTAACCTAATCCAACGTTTCTCTGTCAAATGAGATTAGACCTACATGAACTTGAACTTCAACATTGTTTTTTGAGATGTTGACAGTTTGCCTTTGTCATGCATATTCATGTAATAAAAGTCCCCCAGATGTCAGAGTGTATCATATCTACAGTGGAAACCTAACTTGCATCAATATGCATATTTTGTCTGTTAACCTAAATGGGAGCTTGAAGTTCCACAGTGTATTAACATCTGAATTGTTTTAAACTACAGCCTGCCCTATATGATGTTTAAAAATGGAAGCATCTTGTAAAGTGCATATCACTTACATCAAATAAGCTAACCACAGCCTGACCAGTTGGTGTGTGTGTGTATATTTTGGATGGTCACCCTGAGGGCCTTTACCTCAAACGCACTGCTCTGCTCTCCCAGCAGAAAACACGCTCATAATCCTACGCGCCCGGCAGCCGGTTTTTTTGAGGGTTTTTTTGTACAGCTTGCTTTGATTTAAAATGAATATTTTCCTTTAAATCCAACAGTCCAAATGTTGCAGTGACGCTTCTTAAAAATCCACTCTGTTCCGATAAAACACCGGGTTGTTTCTCTCTCTGCTGTCCGTCTCCCTGCGCGCACAACTCGACTCTTCCTCCTCTCCGTCTCCGCGGGATGCAGATCCGATCAAAGCGGAAGTTATTCCCTCCTCATTTATATCGCTCCTCTGTTTTATTGCCCTCGCAGACCCAGCGGCAGCCCTGATCTGAACCCCGCTCATCAGATCGTTTATTACAAATGGAGTCAAGTCCGCCTCAGCCTCTCTGCCCTCCCCCTTCTGACCACCGCGCGCTCCCATAGGTCTTCCCGGTGCGTCGGTATCCCCAGCCCGAATCACGGCTCTGTCACTGGCCAATCGAACACACACACACACACACACACACACACACACACACACACACACACACACACACACACACACACACACACACACACACACACACACACACACACACAAACTCTCTCTCACACAAACACACACACATTCGAGGATGATTTATTTTTCAAAAGCATACTTATTCACTCTAACAGTAGTTGAATCTCAAAACAAATCCTTTATCCTCCACCCTTCTTCTCATTTGGCTTCACATTAAGCACACCCCTTCAAAATGACTCATTTTCTATCTTAAAAAAACATCTGGATTATCCATCCAGATCAACTGTTTATTGTTACAGTGGAAAGTGCACGATTTACTCTTGATAATAAATATGACCTGTGCCACATTGGCATGCATAAAAAAGAAGCAAAGTAAACCAATCACACATTCTCGATAACGAATGTGGGTGAGAGTAAATGTACCAGGGGTCTAGGCCAGGGTGATGTGCTATACACAACAATTGTAACTATGCCAATTACATAACGCCCTAATATGATGAGGATGTAGTTCCTGAAGTGATAGAAACACACATGTCTCTTATCTCACATGAAAGACACTCATACTAGATTGTGGATATGCACGAGGCCTACAGCAGCAGCAGGTTGACGCGAGCGCGCATCACTTTGATTGGATTAGCCATACTGTTGATGCTGATAACCGGAGGCATCCAGAGTTGAAAGTTGAAGGGGTCACTGCGAGGCCGCCCAGCTGGGAATCTGCCTCGCCATGTCCACCGATTTCTACCAGTTTTGTTCTCGCGTTTCCCCTTCACTGACCAAAGTCTGTTGACAGATCTAACCATGAAACCCTTCTCTGGTTGGACTACATGGTCTGAAACAAACATACTCTAGCCTGCATTCAATTCAAATAATGGTATTTAAAAACCGAACTGATATATAAAAAAATACTGCAAACAATACTGGAGCCATAATATTAAATGTCGAAATGACATGTAATATTATGACTGGTTTGGAATTGACGTGCGTAAATCACTGCGTTTTTACGCATCGGCATGAGACGATCTTTTCTTTAAAACGAATGCACCAACAACTGCAGCCCTTACCGTGTAAATATATCAAATTCCCCGGTGACAGACCTCCGGTGACCGACAGCTCGGTGCAGCCTCTCCTGCACACACGGGTCTGCGGTGAGAAAGAGCTGCCACTGAGAGAGGGTGTGTGTGTGTGTGTGTGTGTGTGTGTGTGTGTGTGTGTGTGTGTGTGTGTGTGTGTGTGTGTGTGTGTGTGTGTGTGTGTGTGTGTGTGTGTGTGTGTGTGCGTGTGTGCGCTATGGTATCACTGCTTTGATACCAGCCATCACATTTTACAAAGACACGCGCAGACACACGCCTTGCGATTTTTTAAATGATGACTTCAAAAAGCTCACACACTTGGATTCAAAATAAATAATTTACTGTTGCTCTACTGAATATAAGTGTAGACTAATCGCAAATCGCCTTTACTGAACAATTTCCGCAACAAACAACAAATCTAGGATTTACTGAAACGACAACGGTTATTTAAAAACAAAACAATAGGTGATTAAATTATTGTCGATAAGAATATGGCCTGGATATACCAGTGGTTTGCTGCCAGTTTAGAAGGATTACCCTGACAAATGTGTATTGCATTCATTATATTTGTTGGATTTTTAGACATTTTTCAACTAAAACTTGAATGAACAGACGTGGCATGTCAAAATGCAGACATACCTTGTTTTACAAGAACAATAAGGCTTCTTCACATACAAAAAATGTGATTGCATGAAAAAGAAAAGTAAACACATTGAAGTGTCATAGTTGGTCAGAATTGACTTTTCTTGGAGTAAAATCATGACTACGAATGTTAACTCATATTAATTATTAGACTCTTAATTTGTAATAATTATTTAACATGTTGGCACAGAATTACTGTAGACTGTAAATTAAATTAAAAAAGGAACGATATTTGATGAGCGACTTTTAGTCGAAACTAATTATTTGGCGAAACTCGCTCGTCTGTTTTTAGAGGATCAAACCGGTATGGTAACTAGGTCAATGCATTACGTTAATTTATTTAGAACATTTAAATAATTGTGTGTGTTTCCTAAAACAGCATCAGCCAGATTTTCAAAAGTAGAATCAAAATTAATCTATATTTCCAAGACGTTCTCTAACTTCTCCCGTTGGAAGTTGCAATTACTCAATAAAAAAATATATACATCAACTAAATGGATTATGCTCTATGGTTTCATTGGCTAATTCCGTCATTGTTTACAAACGATCTTGTATTCAATAATAATCAATAACACAACATGATTAGACTGATATAGCCACACAATAAAATGTATCGAATGTGTCCAAAATCTTTTCTGCTTAATGACAACCAAATATATCGACAAAAAACACAAATTCAGAATAAAAAACAGTCTTAGTGACCATTCTGATATGAGCCACTGGAAAATACTAAATTAACTTAGTTTGAAAAAAATACAACTTTAATTTGAGTTAAAATAATACTCCATCAAACTTTAAAATGATCAATTATGTAGCCATCAGAAACCTGAACTCACAGACTTCATTACATTTGTATCTGATTATCGTAAAATTATACAATAATCCCCTTTACAAAATTTAAATATTAACTATTTGAAAACTATTTGGACTCCAGCACCCTAACTATTAAGGTAACACACTCTTTAAAGCTAAATGTTCACAGGTGTTCCTTTGGGTTAGAGTCACATTAACTTAAGTAAACTGTTACATTTACTCAGCACCATTTGTTTTTATTTAAATCTTTAAAAGCCTGAATTAATGTTTTACTTTTTGGAATAAAACTCATCATATGGTTGTAAATTCCTCACACTGTAAACCCCAAAAAGCTCGAAAAAATTAAAGCAACTAATTGACTATATTCTTTTGAGTTGATAAAAAAAGCTTAAATATTTTCATTACATACAGACACTTGCATCAATAAACAACAGGAATAAGTTTGGTTACATTTTATCTTTGAATTAGAGCTGACTTAACCTGCAAGATCAATAAAGATTTGTTAAATTAACTCAAAAACTAAGATCAAATACTGAAGGTAGAACTTTTTGGGAAATGTAGGTTTACACGACTAAATCCTTTTAATTATTTAGAAAATCTGGGTTTGCAGTGGTTGGTCTATGCAGAAGTAAAGTGAGAGGCGGAGGTTTCAATAATACCTGGAATGAGGTGCTGGCTGGACGGCTCATTATTGTCCCATCCTGGCTGCAGCTGACTGGATCCTCTGTTCTCTGTCTGGAGGAAGTGGTGACGGGGTCCCAGACCTCCTGCACTCAGCGGGTCTGTCTCACACACCTCCAGCCAGAGCAAGTGTGTGCGTGTGTGTGTGGCATTAGAGGGCAAGGTCAACCCATTTCTCTGCAAACAATCACATCACACAGGGCAAAATACATTCCAACCACCCCCCTCCCCCCCACCTCCAGTTTGTAAGGTGGTCTGATGTGGGAACGGAGGAGGATGGGGGGGGGTTTGGCAGCGGTCCAGACGGGGCCTCAGAGTCCAGATGAAGGAAAAGCTGTTCCACATTAATATGACTTCATATTACACATGTTAGGGAGAGTCTTACATGTGAGAGGCTTAGTCAAATGTTACGCTCTTGTTTAAAGCCAGTGCCTGTGATCTGAGCTGCTGTAAATGTGCCTTCAGATCACATCACTTAGTGGTTTAGTGGCAAGTGAAGAGGTTAACATATCGCACATCAGCAATCAAAGTTGCTCAGAGAACTCCAACAACCTAACAAGAAACAAATCCACTTATCTTTAGTCATTAACACTCAGTTTAATCTTAACAAATGTAGCTATAAGTGTTAGTGTTGTGACTTAAAATCATGAGCTGAGCGGCGGTGATATTCTTCTAAACATTTAACAAACTGATTCAATCTATGTGATTGTGTCAAATAATTGGCTTGCATAAGTGAACTCGGCAAAGAGCTTTAAAAACTCATTAAAAAAGGGACTCAATCTCCATTAGAGCTCCAGTCCTAACACTTTTATGTTATGTGAAAAAAGCCCACTTGTAAGTAATTGAAATAGTTATCCCTTAATCTTCATTTACCACCAAGTGTCATGCGGTATAGTATCCACTTAGCTGGCATTATTTAACCCATTTCTTTGTGCATGAAACTTGACTAAATCTATTATTTAGTTACCTATGTATTTTCTTTTTAATATAGTCAACACTGTGTTTCATTTTCTACTATCTTAATTCTACATATCCTATCTCATTAGACTCTCTTTTGAGCTCAAAATTGTTTTATTATTCTGACTTTTATTTTGAAGGGTCCCCACTTTTATGAGGCTAAATTCCAGGCACACACACAGGAAATGATTGTACTTTGTCCTTGTTTGGCAGCTTGCATGTCATCCCCCTTCATAATTCTTGCAATCCTTTTATATTGTGTTTGATATAGAGAGGCATTATGGTTTAATTCAATTATGTTTCAGAGTGAGCAGAACTTCTTTATGAGCTTGTAGCTTCTTCAGCTGCAAACCAGCTGACACACTGAAGGTGTGGTGTCTTGCAGCTCCATCTAGTGGCTTTCTTTCGCAAACAGAGAAATAACAGTGAAACAGTGGAAAGCAAAGACATCATGGGTCAAAGTCCAAAAGAAAAAAATAAAGTAGTCTTCTTCATCCTTTAATACACATGACCTGCACAGGCTCAAACCATTGAAACATCAACAAAGCATTAGCATACAGCTACAGCTACATCATGACATTATATTGCACACATTTGTTACAGAGAAGTATATTTTGCAGGACGATAAATGCCTGTATTTTCCCCCTGAAATCCTCCTCTGCAATAAACCACATTCTGACTGATCCTGACTATATTTTAGAGCATCATCTGAAACCAGCAGTGTTATGGCATCAGAGAGAGAGAGAGAGAGAGAGAGAGAGAGAGAGAGAGAGAGAGAGAGAGAGAGAGAGAGAGAGAGAGAGAATCATTGTGGGAACATTAACCTTTAGGGGACACTGTGCCCTCAGTGCTGTCTGTCAGTCACAGGCGTCAAACTGAAGTGCAGCGTGACCTTTACGTTATGTGCAAGCTCGAAGGCTTATTGTGCGTTGCCATTTTTCAGACCTTTATCCCTTTATTGTCCAACAACCCGTTTGCACTGGAAGGCTTTGAATTTGAGAGATGAGAAGCTCCACAGAGGAGTAGGTTATAGTGGTGGTGGGGGTCTTAGTGTGTCAGTCTCACAAGTTAGAGGAGGGTTTTTATATTGTTATAGTTTTACTCCAAGTATTATAAAACAAAACATAAGCATGTTTTCCTTTCCATTTGTGTAGCTCATGATGAAGAAGATCTTATTTTCCTGCCCCTCACTCAAAAAGTGATGGTCTTTAAATCACAGCTGCTTACAACCAAAACGTACAGTAACATGAAACCAAAAACACAATCAAAAGTCAACACAACAATCTCCCATCAGCGAAACATGTTACCTGACATCTTCATACTGTCTAATTATTCTATCTTGCATACATTTTCTTAAAGATGTTCATACAGCCCTTTGAATCATTTGGTAAAGAAGTCTACAGTTTAACGCTAACTACAGAGATACACATGAAGTAGTCCGTGCAAACTGATGCTTCAAGTTACATTTCTTATGTCGCTCATCTCTGAATTCAAAACAAAGAATTTTGGTATATTTTCTGATAGTATTCCGTTTTTTGCTCTATGCAAAACTAATGAGGTCATTGAATTAGTAATTCAATTCAGTCTTTAAGTGTAAACAGCCTTGACTCAACAGTGTATTTGTGTTGTGTAAATAAAGGTTATAAGTTAATTGTGTAACTAAAAGTATGAGGTGTGGAGTTTGTTATACACAAAGTCCACAAGTTCATCCTCCAATCTCTATCATTTTTGTTTCTTCACTAAATCTCCTGCCACATGTTTCTGCTTGGAGTTCTCTCAGTACCTAGGGGAGCTCTATCTTTAACAGACTGAAAACTCATTTCAACACAGCTGACATTTCACGGGCACTCAGGGCCTTTTTCTTTTCTTCACCTACAACACAATTTAAACTGTTCGTTGGAGACATTTTAATCTTGCCTGTCCTGCAGCCACGCAGCTGCACTGGGAGGCAGAGGGACGTGGGCCGAGGTCAGGACAGAGTTTCAGGCATTTTACCTAATGGACCTTTGCACTGGAGGTGTGAAACACTTCACTTAACACAGCCTCTGGCACTGGAGGGGCATGTGGAAGGCGTGCATGCTTGTGATTGTGTCAGCGTAACGTGAGCATGAGTTTAAGGTGCTAAAGATCAAATACGTCAGTCCTGACCCTTTGCATGCCTGGGAGATGGACATTCTAGCAGCCGGGAGAGAAAACAACAATAAAACTTTCAAATACTTCCATCGAAAGCAAATGTTGATGTGAATTGACCCAGAAGCAGTGTTGGGAGAAGTACTCAGATCCTTTACTTAAGTACATGTACACATACTATGGTCTTTAATACTCCACTAGAAGTAAAAGTCCTGATTTAAAAAAGTAATTGCATTAAAATTAACTTAAAGTAAAAGTACTCATCCTGCTCAACAACCTACTTCAGAATAATATAAAGTATAAAACAATTTTCATCTAATCTAAATTTACTTCAAGTATCAAAAGTAAAAGTACTTGTTGCAGAATGGATCTTTATACTATCCAGTTTTTATACATGAAAGAGCATTTTAGTATCGGTAGAGTGTCAATTTGGAGCGATTCAAACATGTGACATTTTGTAGATTAGTGCCACAGTACCACATTATACCATAACAGCGTATCATGTGTTATATGTACAAAGCAACTAGTCACTATGATGTTAAATACATGTAGGGGAGAAAAAAGAATGATATTTGCCACTGAAATGTAGAGGAGTAGAAGTATGAAGTAGCTTTAAAAGGAAATACTCACGTAAAGTAAAAATATGTCTATATACTCTAGTACTTAAGTACACTACTTGAGTAAATGTACTTACTTTTCACCACTGCCCAGGAGCCACTAGATGGCAGCGTGAAAAGACAAACGATTACGTTTTGAGTTAATCAAAAACAACTCAAACAAGACGAATACAAATCATTATTTAATGTACAAGAAAGAAACGTAACATTACAGTCAGACGAGTGCACACATCTTAGCAAACGGAAAAGGCGTGACCACGGTACCACATCAATGACGTCTTGAGGTGAATCTGTTAGGGTTAGTCTACTGCTGTAACAAAACTAAGTCTCCGAGCCATCTTCTCAGAGGAAGCTGTAATATCTGCTGTAAAAGCACAAAAGAATAAGTAAAGAGAGAAAAGCAAAGTGCGCAATTACAATTCAATTACCAGAAGTAGTGGCATATTATTCCACATAATGCTGGAATAACAAAAATCACATTTACAAAGCTGTCAACCGGCTGATCAGCTGTACTCTAACGTTGGTAGTACCATCTAAAACACTGCTATATTATTACGGTAGGTTCTCTGTTAAAAGCTAAGGAGTCACAGTTAGCCAAATATTAAAAGCTAATGTTTAAAATATAGTGCGAACAAATAAAAGCTGCTGCTCAGTTAGCTTGTACCTTTTTTTAATGAGACCCACACTTCTTTCCCCCCAGGCACCTGATAAGATGTAAGTAAACAAATGCTAGTTAATTATTAACGAAGGTAAATTGATGTCACATAATGTGTGACTCAGGAAGAAAGAGGCAAACTAACACTGCTGGGCGAAAACAAAAACTATAAAAAGACCCAAACTATGTGTTTTATGAAAAAAAGCTTGAATATAAAAGGAATGGATACTAGTGAGTCTAAATGCCTTTAAACACTATTCTTGGTAAATACTTCTAACAGGGGTGAAAACACATTATTGCTGACAGTTAAATCTCCGAGTGGAGGCGAGTGCAACAGATTGACAGGAAGTGCCATCATTTGATAATTCGTAGTCTGCTAGAACAATTAACAACAAGATTATTCAAGTTTTCAGAGGAAGCTGATCACTCCATTGTACTTCTTCACAGTCCTGTGAGCAACACACACTGCGCCTCTCGGTTTTCTTCCAGCTGTGCGCATCCTTCGTCTGCAAAACAGCCACAAGACCAGCCTTGATCTCACGTCATGGCGCCAAGTCAGATGCTCACAGTGTCACTTCATTAGCAAGGAATACTATTATTACCAGTCACATTCAGTTTAAAGCAGGTACCAACACAGGAGTCTGAGCAGAGTGAACTCAGACGTCTGTTGTGCGGATGCCGTCGTCGTCCAGGCTGAAGGGGAAGCCGGTGCGAGGCTGCGGCTGCGAGCGGTGCCTCCGACGCCCGCTGGCCACGTCTCCGGACGCTTTGAGCATGCCCAGTCCGCTGGAAGCTGCTGGAGGAGCAGTGGGGCAAGGGTTAGGGGCGGAGAGGGAGTTGGAGGAGGAGGATGTGGAGGAGGAAGTGGAGGAGGAGGAGAGAGAAGGCAAGGTGGGGACAGAGCTGAAAGCACTGTCGTCCTCCTCTGCGTCCAGGATGGAGGGCTCGCAGGACGGGACGGGGGTCCAGGGCTGCCAGCCGGGGGCCACGGAGCAGGACTTCATCAGGGCCGGTCGGAGGTCGTGCCCTTGCTGACCCCGAGACGCTGAGGAGGCATTGGGATTACGATAGAGAGAGGACGCACGCATAAATGATAAGCCCTGCAAGTAGGAAAGAAAGACATAATCATATTAGAGGATTACTTTTCTCTACCACAGTGTAGGAATACTCTGTTACAAGTGAAAGCCCTGCATTCAAAATGTTACTCAAGTAAAAGTACAAAAGTATTGGCATCTAAATATACTAAAAGATTAGCCCATTTCTCATTCATATACAGTTTATCATATGTTTTGATAGTAGCAACATATTTAAAGTAAGCCTCAATATTGAACTTAAGTATAGTACTTGAGTAAATACTTAGTTACTTTACACCACTGGGAGAGTTGACGTTTACCTTGGGGGGGCCCCTGAAGTCCTGGATCTTCATCTCAATGTCCCTGATCCAGCCATGCATCTCCTCTGGAGAGTCCGTCTGCAGGGAGACAGCAGCACATCAAGCCTTGCACTGACTTCACACTGGCTTTTATACTGGTTTGACCTTTTGTGTTTTATCGCTGGTCATATCGTTGATGGTTAATAATGTTTTTCTTAAAGTTATCAAATGCCAATCACAAAAAAGTGATCCTTAAAACTGCAGCCAAATAAATGTTTGAAGCTGTTAGGTTGAGTTTCACCACCGCATAGTAAGTAAGGACAAAGAACAACATTCCAAACTGTTCTAGATAATTAAGCAAAAACAGACGTAGGTACCACTATTATTAAAAGATGGTTTTTAACTTTGATGTCTGCATTACCAATGTGGTCAAGGTGTGTGTTCAATCTATTCTTGGTTATGTGTTTGTGCTTTTTCCTGTTAGCTTAATGTTTGCCATGCTTCCTTTTTCTCTCTCGCGTAAACACAAGTAAAAGCGCTCATGCTTGCACGCTGTCTCTCTCTCTCTCCAGTACTGCCTATCTGATCCGACCCAACTGTCTCAGTCAGCTGTTCTCCCAGGGGGGGGGCGACAGGAAGTTATTGTCCTTATGGTAACAGATGGCTTTGCCCGTTTCACAAAAACAAACTTTTAATTCCCTAAAAGAGGAGCTCATGCCACACATCAGCAGCAGAGCATTGAGAGGAAACAGCTCAAAAACATCAGGACGGATACAGCTGAGACCCTCTACGCTTTACCGTCAAAATAACTTGTTTATTGTAGTCAATGCTTTCATCCAGAGCCAAATAGCATCCAAAATATTTTTAAAATGTGCATCTCTTGTATATTGGAAGTTGTGATTGTACCTGAATGTAAAAGGTCCTGGAGCTGGTGATGATTTCAAACAGGTTGTCTCTCAGCAGCAGATCCCTGAAGGACGGAAATCAGAGGCTTAAGAGAAGGCTAGATAGTAGCTGTTTGCCATAAATCTACAATCTGTATTTTTCTGGTTTCTGAATTCATATCTGTGTAGGAAGTGGTCGGGCCTACACCATACAGTGTTCTATTTGGTCTCAATCAGAGTATTCACTAGTAGAGGACCAAATCGTGAGAAAGTAACATTGAGAATTTGGCTCATTGACTCACCCTGACTTCACGAGACATTCATGGACCTTCTGAATGTCCCTCAGTGGAACGGCCCGTAGAGGCTCCTTATCCTGGGACAAACGAAAGCACAATTCAGACGAGGCTAGACAAAGAGAACACACACATTTTAGGGGAAGATACAAAATGCCTGGCTCCTCACCATCTCAGACTTGTAGTAACTAACTGCATTGTCATCCAGGGTGAAAAACCTCCTCTTCCAGCTCTTCCTCTGAAAACACACACAGAGCCACATTAGAGTTTCCACATGCAGCTTTCTTTCTTCATGAAAGCAGCGTTTTATCAGTTATAAGTGGCTTGGTACTTACCACATTTCCCTGTTTGACACAGTAACCGCACCTCAGCATGCCTGGCCTGTTGCCTTTCCTCTCTCTCCCTTCTGCCTCCTCGCACTCATTCTGAAACATTTCACACATGCCATCTTCAATATCGATTCAACAATTGTGGCCACTGTTACCACCATCTTCAAAACATATCAGATTCCACACAACGTGGTTTTGGAGGCCAAGAGCAAGCTATGCAGAACAAAAACTATGCTTAAAAACACTGATTCTGTCTTCTAACGCCATCCGTGTCACCTTCCATATCTTTATATCCAGGCTTGGGGAGTAACGGTTTACATGTAACAGGATTACGTAAACAGGATACAAGAAAAAAAGGTAGCTGTATTCCCTTACAGTGACATTAAAAAATACGTAATCAGATTACTGTTATATTTCTTCTCTGTAAACTGTACTGTTCTGTAAGTGTGAAACTATACGAAACTATACGCCTACTTTTTGATACTAAATATCTTGGTTTCTTCTTTTCTGAGGTTACATCGTTCTGGTGTTTACATAACACACTTCAGTAAAACACATCTTATTGATATTTCCTTTCTCTTTTATTTATTTGCATTGCATTTGATATCGAGGTAATCCAAAATTAACAGATAGTAATCAGGTAACATTACTTTCCTTAAAATATCCCTCCTAACCCTGGTTGTCTCCTAGCTTCCTCTCCATTACCTGGATGGGGGTGTGCACCACCACGCCCCCGATGATCTCAGTCTTGTAGGCGTGTTGTCTCTTCACTCCCTGAGCGTCACTGATGACTGCGGTCACATCGGACCTCAGGGGGGCGGGGCCAGATCTGGGAACCTGTGAGCAGAGCAGCACGTAGACTTACATATGTGGCCTTAACAAGTGGAGCTTAGTTAGTACAGCTTGCTACTCTTTAACAGGGGTCAGAGGTTACATTCCAACTGGGACTCTCCATGCTGCAAACAATGCAACTGTAAACATCCAACACAGTCTAAAGGGTTGTTTCAATGTAAACATCCTTAACCTGGAAAAGGTTATGGTACAATCAATTAACTTTGTTTGCAAATACAATAGTTTTTAAGCAACCTTGTATATGAGGTCCATTTTGTGGAAAACTGCAGTAATTAAAGAAGGAATAGGAAGTACATTATACTAAATGTAACAAAAACAGGTTATGATAAGTAACTAAAGGGGCTATTCCTGAAAACGAGACATTCAAATTGATCCTGTGAAATTAATTTTTCAGTGCTTTTCTTTCTTTGCTGCGTTTAAAATGGTGTCCCTCAGCTTTAGGAAGTACTTTATTGGTTCCAGTGAGGCCAAGGAAGCTGAAAAAAGGCGTTAGAGAAGCCCTGCCATCAAAGAGGAAGTGAAAGAGAGAGTAAGTGTTGCAGCTTCCTATGTCAGTGGGCAGGTGAGAGAAAAAGAGACAGACTCTCTGTCATTTGCCATTCAACAAGGACTCTGTCATCTCATAGAAATATTATGCAAATGTTCAAACCTAATATGCATGGAGTATTCACTCACACACGTAAAGACAATGGTGTTTTTGACACTTCCACCACAATGACGTGAGTTTTATCGCTTACATTTATGCACATTCACAATTTCCTCATTCAACAAGTGCCACAGGGTTTTTGTGGGCAGCCTGCTGGCATTTTCGCCCACTCAGACCAAACTGGTTTCAGGCCTTTCATCACCACAAACTGCAGCTTCCTGTGCTCAGGTGGAAATAATTATCTTATCAAAAGGGTTAGCGTGTGTGTGTGTCACACTCACAGTGATCTTGCTGGCTTTATTGAGAGCCGCCACCCAGTCCCTCATGTCGGTTACATCGTTGGCTTGTAGGAAGTACCTTCGAGAAACTGCATTGATAACTGCAGAAATAGACAATAAAGAACTCCATGAATATCCATAATAACTGCATTATATCATATTATCATGTGTCAATACGTTTCATGCGTTAATGTGTTTCTGCATAAGCAAAATTCAGCGTGTCTCCCTGTAAAAACTCACCAAAGCAGAACTCTGTCTTTGGCTTTTGCTTCACTGTAGCTTCGCTCACCTGAGATACAAAGAGAGAGGAGGAGACAAAAGGAAAGGAGTGATATCAGAGGAGAGAAGAGGAGACAAATGAAAAGGAGAGCAGACGAGTGGAGAGGACAAGAGAGGAAGCAGAGGAGAGGACACAAACAGAGAAGAAAAAGCCCAAGAACAGACAAAAGTGGAGAGAAGGGAGCGTAGACAAAAAGAGAGGAGAGTTAAGAGGAGAAACATGTCATATCTTTGCAGACTTTTTGACTCAGTGTCCAGGGAGGAGCTGTCAGCACTACTCTAGTGCAGCCAGATTATTATCTCTGGTTAGCTCATGGAGTGCTCTGACATCTGGAAAACTTCACAAAGTCTGCCTCGGCATGTGTCCATTCACTATAGATAATGCCAATCTGTGCTCCCTATTTACATGTTTATATATTTGTATGAAAGTCTGTGTCCAAACGGCTGAGATCTGCTGCACAGGCAGTTCACTACTACAACCCGCACTAAAGGGAAATGGTTTACCTTCGAGATGTAGGTTAGTCTCAGGCTGCCAACAGAGCTAGCTCCACTGGGCAGGTTCTGCATGCAAACACAAACACATACACTCGTCATTGGCTCAGAGTCCAAGGTTACACACTCCTATTGGTCAATTTCACTTCCTCTTGCTGTTTGTGCAAGTGTGTGTCGTGCATTTTTGTGTGGAGCACCTGAGGGTTGTCCATATACCACAGCAGAGCATTTTCCTGGGTGTCGAGGATGAAGTATCGCCTCTGGAAGCGGCAGCTGTTCTCCTTCTCCTCGACGTCCAGGAAGCCACACACACGGTTCAGCCGGTCCACGTACGGCATGCTGCTGCTATCACATATCACCAGGACACACACATGGACACACACACAGACAGAAACTCAAGTCAGATGAGAAGAATCTATAGAGAGGAGGAACAGAAAGAGATGGTATAGGACAGATAGGCAGATGTGGAGGATAAACTAACTTTCATTTACTGCTGAAACACACACACACACACACACACACACACACACACACACACACACACACACACACACACACACACACACACACACACACACACACACACACACGAAGAAAGAGACCCACTCCGACTCAGCAGTTTTTCATGTGACGTGATTGAGGCCGAGCAGCAAACCCCGAAGCCCGAGGCTGAGCTGAGGCCCTTCACCACAGACAAAAATTACAGACTGCACTCAAGATCTGCACACACGCACATTTCCACTGGCCAGGGAAGAGAGAGGAGAGGGAGGGAGGGAGGAATGGGAAAAAGGGGAGAGGGGAGAGAGCTGGTGAGATGTATTCATTAAGACGATGCCATGCATATGAATCACTAAGCTGCTGACAAATTTTTTAAAAAAAAGACTCATTCAGCTCGGACACTCAGGTATGCTGATGATCATTTATTTATCTTTGCTTTCCAGGGAACTACTTTTTTATTTTTGAGGGGGAGTCAGAAGACTTCTGGCCTACAGAAAGCTATATTTTATCATCTCGTTTTCATTAAGTTGCGGAGGGAATCAGTCTCATCTCTGCAAACGTAACATGAAGCACTCACAGATGCCCTGCTCAAAAGATGCAAAGCAGATTTTCTTTTCTTTCATAAGTTTCAAATGTTCTGCTTCGCCCCCCACTGAAATGTAACTGGGCTACAAAGGTAATATGATAGCAAAGTAGGCCACATCTGTGTCTAATCTTTTCATATATTAAGAACAAAAAATATAACGTTACAGTCAAATAAAATATACGGTCCAGACTGAATGACTGAGGCCTCTGCCAATACTTTTACAAGACTGTCATAAATTTCCAGGAACATTTCCAATGAGTACAAACACACACATGACCCAATGAACAGACAGAGAGAGAGAAATAACAGCAGCCTCTTAAACTCATCTTCCCTGCCCCGGTGAAACTCCTGTAAATAATTTTACTTTCTGAAACCGCTTTGAATAATTAGTGGCCTGGGTTTCGGATGTGTGTGTCATGCAACCTTCATTACATTTGCCATTAAAATAGGTCAAAGATTCAAACCATTCAGAAGCATTTTGCAAAAACTCTAAGTGGAATGGAAAAGAGAAAAGGATGCTGCATAGGTCACACAAACACCCACGCTAGGACTTATACAACATACACACACACACACACAAACCATTTTGGGGTATCGGAAAACATCAGGCTCAACCATTGCAGAGAGAAACAGCAGTGAGGTTGTGGCATCTTAGGCAATACTTAACAATAAACTCAGACTAACACACACATTCATTAATGTCAATAAAGTTTGCGTGTAAGAGGGCTGGATGCCGTATGCAGATTGCAGCAGTAATATCAGTGTCATGTCATCATGTTTAACCACATTTAGGCCAGTGAAGTGAAACCCACCTACACTCAGTTTACATCTGCTTTCTTTGTGGACAAGGTAAACCTCTTTTCTGAAGCACAAACTGATTGATGTCAGCCATACTCTAGCAGTGTTGTTAGGTTCTTCTATGAAGTTCAAAAGGAAGAAAAAAACAGGCAAAGATATCTTGACTTTGAGCTTCACACTTGCTCAGTCCTACACCTGAATGAAACTCAGTCGTATCCAAACTAGATACCATATGGATAATTCTCTCAGGTTTGACAATCTCTATAGAGGTTCACAACAGTTCAACTTAAAGCTGAATGGATTGACCGGCAACAAATCCAATAATACAACTCTAGTTAGAAATGTGAGCGTTGCATATGTGTTTGAGGAAAAGCTCATTTGAACAGCTTCATACACTTTATATAAGTCCTCACATTTTAGGGACTGCTCCAAAATGATTTTTTTCTTTCAATTTAGGATGTTGTTTAAAAGTGAAAATGAGGGTCTATTGATTTTATTAATTAGAGCTGGGGAGGGCCTCATCTTATTTAAAGTGTCAGCATACCGGAATCCATTACAGAATTTAAAACTGCACTTGTAATTTGTAACTTTTAGTAACACAATGTTACTAAACTAGCTTAACTGCTCTGCACTGTTGCTTATTGTTGATGTATTTGACGTTGTATTGCTGAGGCTGTGTTGCTGATGTCATGCAGGGTGACCTTGAGTGCCATGAAAGGCTATTCTTATAATTAAAGTTAAGCTACAAGGTCAAGCCGCCCACAGATCAAAATAACGCTGTAAAAATTACAATATTTAACTCTGAAAAGTGGTGGGTTCAAAATAAGAAGTAGCTAAAAATAACTCAAAATGTAAGATAAATCGTAATATATTTGGGATTGGTTTTGACAAAACAGGCTACATGATCACTTTACCTTGGGATCTTGGAAGTTGTGGCATATTTCAACACTGTCTGTTATTTAAGAACAATTCATCTTCTTTACTGCTTTCTAGTGACAGCAGGGTGTTCACATTATTGACCACAGTGGAGGCACGAGTTTCACACCACTGAGTGAACAGCAGATCATGGGCTTGCACACTATAACGTGATTATGAGTATTACAAAAAAAGTTGAAATGTGATCTGGCAGACAGACAGCTCAGATGACCTGCACTGACTCACCAGATCCAACAACGGCCTGCCACACCTACATTATTCTGGCCTCATAACACACACTCACACACACACTGAGGCGGGAGCACACACACGCACGCAAACACACACAGTCCCAAAGCACTTACCCAGTGTGGAGTCAGTGTGCGCCACAGCCAGCGCCCCGCACGGCTCCGAAGCACAGAGGAGAGACCCGAGTCCGGTGAACAACGGGCATGTTAGACAAAGTTTTACTAACTTTTAGACACCGCGTACAGTCACACAGCCGGCGTGCAGCTCTCTGTCCGTTTGTTTGAGTGATCGGCTTAGAGAAGAATTGTCTTTTTTCCGGGTTGGACGTTTCGTTATTAGAATAAACCAGCCCCGGATGTGATCTATGCGTCCTCTGAGCCCCGGGTCCTCCTCCTCTGCTCTGATCTCTCAGTAGAGGAACTGCACTGCTCAACACATCTCTGCTTATTTTTATTTATTTTTTTACACACGTGTTTAGGAGCTATTATTTAGAAAATACATAAACCGTGCGCATTATCTTTCTTCCTGGAACTGCGGGCGATATGTTATCTCTTCAGGTAGCAACTTGAGAACTGGGTCGAACACACACACACACACACACACACACACACACACACACACACACACACACACACACACACACACACTTGTTTCTTATAAATGAGCAGGTATAAAGGGAGTGTAAACCTGGATTAACAGGTCTGTATTCCAAATATATATATTTTTTAAATATTAAGAAATAATAGAAAACCCAAATATATAATCTGGTCTTCTCTTTGTGGAAATATGATGTACTTCAATGCAACTTTATGCCTCTGGCAAAATATATCTTAAATAAGTTTGTAACATTAAAATAGCTTTTTCTTTAGATCAGTTGGTTGTTTGGTTAAAAGCCAGCAGTTTTAGTGTGAACATCATTGTGTTCTTCGTATATGAGCTCTGGTCAGTGTTAACATGCAGAACAAGTGTCAGCCATTATAAATATAGCAAAGCGACACCTCTGAACAAAGCAAACCACTATGAATCATAGAGAAAAACACATGAGAAACACATATGCAGAAACAAACCTTGTATGTGGCCAAGGGTCATGACTCATAGCTGTTGGTGGAAGTGCAGATGTTAATTATGAAGCGTGTTTTTTTCAGTAGTTAAATTCCTGACAGATAAATATGTCTTTGAATGTTATAGGGGATCCACAAAAATACTTGACTACCTCATAGTTTAGCAATGGCAATTGAGTCCTTATGTATATATCTGCTAAAGTAGGAGCAGCATGGTGACGAATGTTGTGGTGTACAGTACTTCAGTGTTGCTTCACTGTCATTCCTCCTTAACAAAGGTGAACAGTGTCTGTGGTGAAACTCCTGAGAGAGACATGACACTAACTGACATGACTCGCAGGTTTCAACACAGAACCTGGGTTTAAAGTTTCCATACATGATCTATCTTCGTCCTGTCCTCCTTACAACTGCTAATATCACACACATCTGCATTTACAGGATTGATTTTGCATTCTTTTTTTCTTTCTTCTTTTGGTGAATTTGTGTCCCCTGGAAGTGGTTGCATGTCATATGATGTGGCGACTGCACATCATACAAGTTACACATTTGCAGAAGGAAGTCCTGAAGTTTCCACAGACCGTCCTATTTCTGCTTTAGATCACAGGCTATTTTCTCTTTACCTGGTGCGTTAACTACTTTAGATTAACACACATTTATATCAAATGTAACACAAAGGTGTTCTTACTCTCACACAAGCACAAAAGGGTTTGATTCAATCTTTATTTAAGACAAGTTTGCACGCACACACATTTAATAATGCAAGCACTGAACAAAACTTTATAACATTATTTACACATTTAAATAAGATTGTATTAAAACTCCCTCCTGTTCTGTTTCCCTGCCAGGTGAATAATGTGGTTCTTTGGCTTCAAGCGAGCTGCAAACTAGTTACCGACTCAGCATATACCGAAACCACGACACACACCATGTGGAGGTGCACTTCACTTTGTGCACACTTACACCACAAACACTCTCATGATATCAGGTTCGCATTTACAGCTTTACATCACCTGAAAGAGAACACACCGCCATATAAAAAGATGACAAGCTTACTATTTATTTTGTTGATGATAGAAAAAGATAAACAATCATAGGCGCTGAAGCTTGTTTTAAAATGAAAGCCATCTTCATTTCAACAACTCAGTCATCAGAAACACAATTAAAAACATATATTGAACCATGTGCCACTGAACAAACATTAATTAATTAAATGTATTTTGTTATCAAATGTCACATAACTGTGGTTAGTTGAAAGCAATAATATTAAGTTGAACCAAATTAAAAAACCTAATTTTAAAATGATTGCTTTCAACCAACCTAGTACAGCTATGTGACATCTGTTGACATAATAAATGTGATTAAAGTTTCAGTTTTTCCAGTCCACTTTTTGGAGGATTGAACATTTCCGAGGGGAAAACTGAAAACCAGCAGAGAGATGGACCAGCTAGCAAATGAGCAGATGGATGGACTTATGAATCAATTGAGGAAAATAAGCAGGGCCGGGATCAGCAGGATGGGGCTGGAGGCCGGAGCCCCTGCTCTGTTGTGGTTTTGAACCCCTTGGCTGCGCTGGGGCCCGTTACAGTCGTCCCCGAAACAGCACTCCATCTCGGCCCCTGAGCCGGAGCCCTGAGCCTTCTGGCAGAACGACTTATACGTGCACGACTTCATCACAGTATCTTTAAAAAAAGAGAGAGGGACATCAATAAGGCCTAAGGCGATGTTCACGGTTGAATTGCTCTGAAATGATTGAAGACGGCCGACTTCTCATCTGCAGCTATGTGATGCTGTGAACCCGATGAACCCCCTCACACACACACCCAGCTGCTCTTCACACACACACACACACACACACGATTAGAAACACACACAAAGACATACAGAGAGTTTGTGGTTATTGTAAACTGCCGGGATAACATCCAGCAACCACAAATGATGAGAGACTGGCTTTATGATCATACACACACACACACACACACACACACACACACACACACACACACACACACACACACACACACACACACACACACACACACACACACACACACACACACACACACACACACACACACACACACACACACACACACACACACACACAATAATCTATTGGCCATGTAACTTCATTTTGGGTTTTAATAAAGACTTTAAAACTCTTCTTTCTTAATGAATGCAGCAATTGTATGGAAGACAAAAGCTGCCAAAAAATTAAATAATGGAACAAAAATACATGTAAGATAAATAAATAATTGAATACAATAGAAAGATAAACTGGAAACTGAATAAATAGGAGAATTATTATATCATATTATGTCAAATAGTACCATTAACTTTTAGCCGACATTAATTTTCATATTAGTTTTGGTACTTTTATTATGATATAAATATTTTTGCTATTTCTCTGTTTATTATGTTTATACTTAAACTTCTCTCTCACACGGGGTGTTATGTTGTGAGGCTTTTGCAAAAAAAAATTCTTCAACATCTTGCTTGTGCTACATGTTTTCCTGAGGTTGTGTGTGCATGTGTGTCTGCACTCACTGGGTCCTGTGATGGTGGAGCAGGCATCAGCGTACTGAGGGCAGGAGGTGGAGCCCTGCCGGATGCAGGCCTCCTCATTGGACGCCACACATGTGAGACACTTGAGGGCGTGGCCTGTGCAGACAGAGCAGGAGAGAGCACCTGACTTAACACTAGGCATACATGTTCACAGGGGAGTGTGAGCATACGTGTGAGCACACACACACACACACACACACACACATTGTGCCGACATCAAGCCAAAACTGCTTGGCTACAGCATATTTGACCAAGGTTTGCTTTAGGAAAACAAAGAACCTGTGATTCAGAAGGAAGTCTGTCTGCTGCTTGTCATCTAATGTCTGAAAACCCCAAAAGGCAGTTTTGGTATGAGTGTTGTAGAAACTCACTGTGGCAGGCCAGAGAGACGAGCAGCAGGGCCAGAGCACTCTTCATGGCAGCCGGCTGACGGACTCTGTTTCTTCAGTCCAGAGGAAGAGTGGATGAGTGTGATGGAGGGACAGCGTGGGTTGAGGTGCAGATTTAGGCACGGGAAGGTGTCTGAGGGCATTAAGGTCTTAAGTCTGTAATCTCCTTGCATGCTGCACAGCCAACAGGCTGTAGTAATGGACTTAACCAAGCGAGCTTTAACAGGAGACACGGTTACAGCTCAGTGTTATAAAAAGAGTTTCGAGGTCATTTTTATAACACTGTTTTTAAAGACTGACTGTGTGTGTGTGGGAGCATTATAAGGCCAAAGGTCATTATTATTAAGTCACATAACAGCCTCAGATGGGATGAGTGTGTGTGTGTGTGTGTGTGTGTGTGTGTGTGTGTGTGTGTGTGTGTGTGTGTGTGTGTGTGTGTGTGTTTGAGAGAGAGAGAGAGAGAGTGTGTGTGTGTGTGTGTGTGTGTGTGTGTGTGTGTGTGTGTGTGTGTGTGTGTGTGTGTGTG